TGTGCAGTGCAGTTCTTGGCATGTTTCTCACTGATTTCAAAGTCACCCACTATGCAGTTATAACATACATGTTATATTGGGAACAATTTGGTTCCATATGCATAACTGTATTTCTTCATAGCAGCTCACAAATTCTCTTCTTCCCTCTTATCATTCTCTGCACAGCAACTGCAAGGAAATGATTTAATTATTTAAAACAGTAGCTGCATACTTAAGAAGTCAGGGAGGAACTAAATAAAGAAATACTTTTAAGACACAAATTTACTAGTAGAGTGTGGGATTATTTCTACCACATGCTAAAACTGTATTAAAGTTATTCCTGGATGTTTGCTCTCCCAGGAATAAAAAGACTGGTGTGACTTTAATTCCCCCTCACCCCACTGACTTGACCAGCTGTTTAGTAGACCATCACTACATTAACATTAGAAGCTTTATGTGTGTGATTTCAGGAGAGGAAAATGACCCTAATATCTCAACTGACAAAACTAAACTGTATCCTGAGACATTATTAGAAAGCAAAGTTCAACAACTATATGTCAGTCAAAGAATTTAAAATTTATGTCAGTCTTATTTAGGAACTCACGTTGTGATGTATACAGCAAACATGAGCAAATTTGCCTTTATAGTAAGAGGAAGCAAAAACCGAGAAGATACCCAGGATATGTGAAAGGCCTTCACTAAGGTACATGTGCCATTGGTTGGACCAGTAAGAGTTTTCTATGTGTCCAGGAACATGAGATACTGTTAGAAGTTTTAGATTTTATTAATGAACACATACTCTTGCAATGAAATTTATGTGCCCGACTTCATCTACCACCACACAAACACTTTGCTACATGCAGTTAATTTCAAGCTATACACTAAAAACACATTACAACTTTACAATCAGTATTTTAAATGGATGGCTGACATACAGCCTTTGACAATATTTAGCACTTTATAGCAATACATTAACGCTAACTTTAGAAACTATAGCATAATGAAATTTTACAGCCAATTAAGTTGATGAGTCACTGTCAGCTTTCTAAGCTCCTCATTTAGATGAAAGAGGCAAATGGATATAGAAAGTGAGGCACAAACTAGTTCCTATAAAATTTTAAGTATCATCACGAGATCGCAATGTTAAGGAAGAGAAAAAGACATTGTCTAAACAGCCTGAAAAAAAATCAAATAATTTCTTTTTAAATTTAGAAATAATATAGTGTTCAGTCTTTTAATTTGTCACCAGGCGCTTACATTGATTTAGAAAAAAGACTTATTATGTCCATCGACTCATGTGACAATAGTCACTGATCAGCCTTGCGACCTTTTTCCCCCCTTGTTTTCTTAGAGTTCTTATAAGAAATATTTGTCCCAAAGTTGAACCAGCTTGCTATTTTCGTTCAAACAAAGAAAATCAAGAGGTTGTTCCTTACTGAATTTCCCTCAAATGATATCAAAGAATTATGGTTGAACGTCATAACTCTAAGTCATTTCTGCTCTAGAGAGGTTAAAAGGGACTTACAGAATTTTTCTCCCCCAAAACAGAATTTGGATCTGGGCAAAACCTTTTGTGTCCCACCAACTTTTAAAGTTTGTTGGGGACTTCCCAGGCCGGTTTGGCCCAGTGAATAGAATGGAGGCCCACAGACTGAAGGGACCTGGGTTCGAATCAGCTCAAGGGAAATCACCTTGGTTGCAGGCTCCAACCCTGGCCCCGGTCTTAGGTGCCTGTGGGAGGATTGGGGTGCATGCGGGAGGCAGCCAATTCATGTATCTCTCTCAGATCGATGTTTGGATGTTTGTCTCTCCCCCGCTCTCACTAAAATAAATAAATAAATAAATAGATAGATAGATAGATAGATAGATAGATAGATAGAAAACCTCCCCCAGTGAGGATTAACAAGAACAACAACAAAAACTTTGTTGGGGATGAAAGTCCAAATTTGCTCTGATATACTATAAAAGCAATTTCATGAGCAGAGGGCTAAATCTAATTGTTTAATAGATGAATTATGTCCAATGCTATTTTAAATGGATTTTTAATCAAAAATATATATTCAAATTTTTACTGATCTGCATGATTCTTGGTTCTGAAACTCTTGCATGTCCTATGAGTGATACACAGCATGAGCCCCAGGAGAGAGAAAACACCCCTCCCCCCACTCCACTCTCTGTGGCCCCACCCGCTACCTTTCTCTGTTCCATCACTAGCGCCTGGCTGAGGTTGGGGGTTCAGTGCTTGCCAGACCCTGGTAGGAGTAGGAGGCAAATGAGAGGTTCTCCTGCTCCCTACATTTTCAAGGTTGCTTCATGGATAGCAGTCTCACTATGAGATATTTACTTTCCCAATTTCTTCCCCATTTCCACCAATGCCACTCCTTGCCTGGGGCCTGTCACCAGCTGTCCCCTCCAGCCCTCCCCCCCCGCCCCCCCATTCCTGCCTGGCCAGAACCACCTTACCTCTTCCACAATGGCGGTCAGCCCTGGACTTCACCCGTGGATAGCCTTCTTTGCAGTGATGGTGTACCACTATAAGTAGTTATTTGAGTCTTATCTCAGTAAATGTCCTGACCATTTGCCTTTTGTTCATCAGCACCCATGCTGTTCTGCTCAGGACTGTCCAGGTTTTGGTTCTATATCCTCAGAACTCTTACAGTCCTGGACTAACCAGGGTGATTGGTTACCAGATAAGATCTTTAATGAAATAATTGAATTATTTTGGCTTCTGTGACCATTCTTCAGTATGCATTTACGAATTGTCTATTTTGTAGTTAAAACTGCAAGACCAGGATGTCACCTGATGACATTCTGGACATGAGCAGTACTGGCCTAGAACCCAGGAGACAAAGTGCCACGCGGAGGTAGGGAGAGGACAGTGTCCCCACACCTGCATGGATCGTAGCTTAGATCATGACGCTAAGGCAGGTTGAAGGAGACGATACACCTTTTGGCATCTTGAAGATGTTCTCTGTTAGGTCTGCCCCGTCTCTTTGTGCTCCCCAAACTGCACAACCCCCAGTACAAAGTTTTAGTGAGATACTGATATAAATTCTCTACAATGATAGCCTGGTTTTAAATTGACTGAGTTTGACATGGAAGCAGACTACCTAAAGATAAGGTAGGCGACTGGAAATGTGGGCTTAGACGTTAGGTGATAAGAAAGTCCTAGAAAACTAACTTCCAGAAAGCTAGATTTAAAAATGAGTTAAATTGACTTGGACCATGTAACTAACATTTTACATTACTATTTATATGTCTAGACCATAACAATAATAATAAGTAAAGGTTTTGAGAATGAATGGATTCTGAGATTGAAAGGGGGGAAAGAGGAGTCAACCTTGAGGAATGGAAAGTTGAGGCATAAAAAAAATATTCACAAAGGCATGTGGAAAAAGGAGGAGCAGAATTCAGCATCATGACACACTTACAGGAGTTTACTAAGTGCACTGACCAATAGCATTGATAGGATCGGTGGAGCAAGGGATTGAGACCGGAGGGAAATGTTCAATGATTGTATGAATAAAAATCAATGAAATGACCACTACCTTTGTGTAGAAGAAAGCCACTGGTTCTATTAGAGTGTAAAAGAACATTTTATCAGTGTATAAAACAACCATTTCAATTCAACTCTCTAAATTCAGAGGCTAGATGAGTTAGTGTGAAGAAAAGAAGTATTTGTTGCGTTTCAAGACTATTTATTACAGGTTACTGACTGGCATCTATGGGAGGGTTTAAAGTGCTTGCTTTGGGTCTCTCTAAGTGTTGCAGGATGCGTAAAGTTAGGGAGGGGGTGTGGAAGTGAGAGGAGTTCCCTTTGTGACCCTCAGTAAACCCTCAGTGTTCTTTCTATAATCTTTTTCTCATGTGCCCAATGTTCTTGTCATCTCTATTTTCCTGGGGGTTGAGAGAATTTTGGACTTTGAGTCTGAAACCTGGGAATGGTTCCCATATCTGCTCTATGTGTCCATAGTAAATTTCACCCCCATGTGTCGCAGTTTCCTCATCTTCAGAATGAGCATGTTGGACGGTAACTCATAATGCATCATTTAATTTTAACATTGAATTTATCTTCCATTTTTAATTCTATCCTTTAAATGATATCTATCACATTAAGTGATAATCCCCAATGTCAATTCTCAGCCTACTTATGCCTAAACATAGGAGCAATTATTCTGAATGATATTCATTTTGAGAGCTCTACATCTTTTTAATAGAAAGTTAAACTAGACAATTTATGGGGATCTAATGTACAGTGTAGTGCTTATAGTTAATACAGTATTGTATACTAGAAGTTTACTAAGAGATTCGGTCTTAACAGTTCTTGCCACAAGAAAAGAAAAGGCAACTATTGAGGTGATAAATATGTTAATTAACCTTACTGTGGTAATTATTTCACATGATATACATATATCTAAGCATTTGTATACCTTACGCTTACACAATCTTATATGTCAATTATATCTCAATAAAGTTTTTTTGAAAAAAAGGAGATCAAGAAGAAGATAAATTGAATGATTCTTCTAAAGATAAACAGGAAACATTGTTATTTAATATTTATAAACAGGGCTCCCTAGTAGAACTCATTCAAAACAAGAACAGACCTGGTTGGAGAGAGACCTGACTTTGGGGCACTAATTAAATGATGCCGCGGGAGCTGGGATAGATGAAAGGAACAAGTCTGTACATTTTACTTAAAGATTAAGTCACTACCAAAAGACCTCTAATTCCCAGAACGTACAATAGGATATGACTCAATAAAGTGGAAGTAAAAGGTAATGAAACTATAGATCTTTTATTTACTTTCTAGGTTTTTGTTGCTAATGAACAGAAACTATTCTCTTCTTTACAAATAAAAAATTCAATACCCAGTTTCAAAACTTTACTCAGTATAATCAGAAAGAAGGTCAAATAGTTTTGTCTCATGGAATGCGCCTCAAATGATGGAAACCTTGGCCCTAGTGCCTTATTTCCCTGAAATCTAACAGTGCCAACTGATGGCTTTCCTTTTTCTTGTGCAGGGCTGGAACGAATTGCGCGGGATTCATCTTACGAACAGGAAGGAAAGGTGCAGTTTGTAATCGATGCCGTGTATTCCATGGCTTATGCCCTGCACAACATGCACAAAGATCTCTGCCCGGGATACATTGGCCTTTGCCCACGAATGAGCACCGTTGATGGGAAAGAGCTACTTGGTTATATTCGGGCTGTAAATTTTAACGGTAAGTTACAACTTTTGGGGGGTCTCTATTTTAGAAGAAACAGGGTGTGTTTTTCTCTTTATATTTAGAAAATACTCAAGCAGAATGGAAAGCAAAGATATAGAAGTTCCCCATGTAATCAAGTCTGAAATTTTCCACCTGCTTTTAAATCCCAAACAGGTGTGTTTTTTTTTGTTTGTTTGTTTTTTTTTGAGGTGTTACCATTAATCTGCTCCTGGAAGAAGCAGAAGTTAAAAATAAGCCTCTATCAATAAAAATACTCTACTTAAATATCGCTATTTCAGAACTAACATAAGAGGTTCATTTGGAATCATTAACAACAAATTAGATCTTTTGAAAGTGCTTTGTTTATGTCGTTATTAGAGAAGGCATTGTGGCCATTTTATTTGGAAACCGATTTTAAGCTTTTAAACAGCACGTTGACTTGAGCAAAGTGAGTGATGTGGAGTTGCTGTGTATTTGCATTTAAGAGTTCTGTGTTAAGCTTCTGCATCTCCTTTTTCCTTGTATTTCTTTCAATGATTTGGGCAATTTGAAGCAATGAGCCACATCATGTAAAATAGAATGACATACAAGGCAGTATAGATGGGATTTGCCTCCTGCAGAAATACTACTTCTGTGAGTGTCATAAGAACCTGATTCAGAATAGGCTAGATCCACAGTGTTTGGCTGAGAATAGTCAAACAGCCTGTCCGAAGTGATGGAATTATGGAATGCTGTTCTCTTATGAAAGCTGTAACGGTTGCTGCCCATGACTTTGACGATTATTTTCAAATGAAATGATAGAATGCTCTGAGCTGTCTAATTCGTTGTGTTTGGCTGCAGTCCACATAGTGGACATGCCTCTGAGCAACGCACAGCGCTGCACTGTCCATCATAATACACTCCAGTGACCTCAGCTGCCAGCCTTTCTCAAAACAGTGCAAGGTCATCTGCAATTTAGAATTCAAGTGGAAACTTCTTCTTTTGCTTTGTTCACGCACATGAGACAAAATTTGGTTTACGTTCAATGCAGAGTATTCTCCTTTTCAGCAGAATTTTCCCTGACGCGTTACATAACATTGTTTCGGTCCTAAGGGGAATTTGAAAATAATTTTCTTGCAATTATCAAGTTGAGCAAAAGAGGAGTGTTACAATATAAGGTTATTTATCCTAACGTGAGATTGGGGAACATTTCATTTATCCAAATTGTTAGAAAGTGGGGAGGAAAATGCAAATGTTTATATTTTCTCAAGAACTGAAGCTCACCTGTAGAAAATAAGGAACTCTTTCAAAGAAACACTGGATTAAAGCATTTTAAAGATGAATTACCAATTTCTTTTTTATCTTAACTATAGATAAAAAACCAATCTTTCCTTGATGACTTCAATTATTATATCACACTCTAATATAATGATGCTATTAAAGACTATTAAACATGCCTTAATGTCTAACCGTTATTAAGGCAATTTGCCTCTAGACTCCAATGATTTCTGAGTTCTTCTGTCCACTTTTTATAGTTTTTGCCCTTCTACATGATCAAACTGATGTTGCTGTGAATTTTTTTAGAGCTGATCTCTTCCATAATTTGCTTCTTTCAATCCATTATGGACAGAGAAGCACACATAAAATTTCATTGATTTAGTCAAGAGATATTTATTGAACACGTAGAATGAGTTAAGATTTGTGATGGGTCCTAAAAATACATTACTGGTATAAGCAGTCAAAGCAGACATAAGATTCAGAGTTTCTCAGGGAACTGAGATATAAGGTACCTATACGAATAAAAGGGAAACATGAAAATTGACTGTCCCTCCGCTACGCCCACCATCCAATCAGGGTAAGTGTGCAAAATAACCCAACAAAGATGGCGGTGGCCACAGAGCTGGAGCGAGCAGGAGGCTTGGGTTACCCCCGGCGACAGAGGAACCCAAGCTTCCCGCCTGCCCTCCACTCAAGGAGGGGCTGGGGGACTGGGTCTCCGGGGGGTGTGGCCAGCCTGAAAACGGCCATCAGCCCCTCACCCAGGATGGACAGGCACCCCAGTTGGATCCCCACCCTGAAGGGGGTGTGACCAGCCATGCCCCTATGGGTTGAGGGTGCCCACTGGGGGGCAAGACCAGCCTACAAACAGCCATCAGCCCCTCACCCAGGCTGGCCATGCCCCCCAGCGGGGACCCTCACACCATGGGGGTGTGCCTGGCCTGCAAACCACCACAGGCTGCCCCATGCCCCAAAGGAACCCCCCACCCTGATCCAGGACACCCTTCAGGGCAAACCAACCAGCTCCCACCCGTGCACTAGGTCTTTATACTAATAAAAGGGTAATATGCTAATTAGACTGGGAGACCTTCCAGGAGACCTTCTGGACATTCTTCTGGACAAAGCCATGGTGGCGGGGCTGAGGTAGAGGTGGTTAGAGGCCAAGAGGGGAGGGAAGTTGTGGGTGATCAGGCCGGTGGCGAGGGCAGTTGAGGGTAAGCAGGCCATCAGTAGGGGTCAGTTGGGGGTGATCAGGACTTGGGTGGGCAGTTGGGGGTGAGCAGGCCAGAATGGAGGGGGCAGTGGGGAGCCAGCACACTGGCATGGGGGGCATTTGGGGGCGAGCAAACTGGCAGCGGGGCGCAGTTGGGGGCGAGCAGGCCGACAGGCAGAGTGGTTAGGGGCAATCAGGCAGGCAGGCAGGTGAGCAGTTAGGAGCCAGCATTCCCGGATTGCGAGAGTGATGTCCGACTGCTGGTTTAGGCCCGATCCCTATAAACCGGCAGTAGGACATCCTTTGAGGTGTCCCAGATTGGAGAGGGTGCAGGCCAAGCTGAGGGACACCCCAATGCATGAATTTCATGCCCTGGGCCACTAGTAATTATATAATCTACAATGAATGCTGCGTGGAGAGGTGTGCTAGACTGGGAGTTCATAAGAGGGTAAACTTCCCTACTTTAAGGAGTTAAGGACAGGTGAAATCTGAAGGAGATGATTGTTAGGGATAAGGGTGAAGCAGAAGGCAGGGCCAGATAGATCATGAGAGGTCATGTAGGTCATTCGCAAGATTTGTTCTTCATCTTGAGAGCAACGGGAACTCACTGAAGCATGATAGAACTGTGTCTGATACAAGAGTAAGTATACTTCAAAGGAGGATCATGTAAAATGCATGAATTTTAGTGTGTGAACTAAAAAAGGTATCTCTTTGAGCTTCTTGGAGCTTTATTGATAGTGCCTTGAAACTTGGCTGTGTTCCAGTGGCTGATGGTACAGGGTAAGAGACCTGAGCACAAGCAAACTGTTATAAAATATACAATTCTCTTGACTTTCAGTAATTCTTAGGATGATCATCAGTTTTTTATTTCATTATTGACATATACATATATATGTATATATATTATTGTTCATTTATCTTTAATATCTTGCCTGTCTATCATAAAAGGACACATGAAACTATTCAAATAGAGGTACACCATCAGAACCACTGAAGGAAGAAACAAATACGGTAGCTAGCACGAAGAACCACACTGACTTCTGAGATTCTAAAACAGCCAAAAGGTAAAGGGAAATTTAAAGGAATAACATACGTTTTATTATATGATAGGACCAAGTTTAACTCTTTTTTCAGGAGAGAATGAATTTTCTTGGGAATTATTTCTGAAAGAAATGTATCATCTGGGACTTTGACAGCTTACTAAGCAACGCTACTTAACAAACTGTTACAGCAGAAGCAGAAGCCTTCTCCGGGGCTGTTTTGCACATGTGCCCACAATCAAAGCTAAGACTGGGATGCTTGTAACACTGATGGATGTTCCGTTAAAGAGTTTTCAAGGAGAGGGAGATAATCTTACTTGATCTAGATTTACAACTCTTTTGAGCTCCGATGATATAAGGATTACCATACTCTATTAAGAATAAGTAAAGAGCATCTTCCATATACAGTACTCTGTTTTTCAAACTCTATCTTCAAAAGAGTCCTACTCAGACACCTAACTTTTCAGGCAGTTAAAATAAGAACTGCTGATGCCCTGGCCGGTGTGGCTCAATGGATAGAGTGTCAGCCTGTGGACTGAAGGGTCCCGGGTTCGATTCTGGTCAAGGGCATGTACCTTGCTTTCGGGCACATCCCCAGTAGGGGGCATGCAGGAGGCAGCTGATCGATGTTTCTCATTCTCTCTCCCTCTCCCTTCCTCTCTGTAAAAAAATCAATAAAATATATTTTAAAAAAATAAGAACTGCTGGGTTGAAGGCGTGGACGTGGTCTTGGACACCCTACTTCCCCTATGCTACTTGCCGATCCTGGGAGTACCTTGAAAGGTCCCAGTAGCTCTATGGGGCACATCAAATCCATAGATTTAAATATTCTTGCTCTTGCAGGCCTTTCATAGATACTGAAAGTAGACATCGGGAATTTGTGTTCTCTGTTGGGAACCTAGCAAATTAATTAATTAGTTAATTGCATACCAGGTGAGCGGGTTGTGTTGGTGACAGGTCAGTGTTCTCACCTAGTGGGAAAGCCAGCCCACTTCCCAAAGACTGGAATGTGAGGGGGTCCTTGGCCAAAGTGCAGTGTCCTTAGGACCAGTTTTGAATCTCCTGGAGAGTAGAGACTGTGCTTGACAAAATCCTGAGCTGTTTACTCTACAGGACAACAATGATGTATTGTATACGGAAAGTTTCTTAGCCTATTACCAGTTGTCCATGGATGAGATTTGTAAGGCAAATGTCCATTTTGTATGGTGTAGCCTTCCAGATTTCCTGCCAGGACCAGTGAGTAACAAAATGCAGTCTCAAGTAATGAAAAAAATGATCCATTGGATGGAATTGTTTAGTAATGCCCAGTTTCAATATTGGATGTATCAGCCCTAGGAGTATAATTTCAATGTAGAAAAAATTGTTACGCTGTTTTTTTTTCTAACATTAATGAGATATCTGAACAAATTGCTTTCTGTGGCCCTTTTCTGTTTGAGACAGTAAAGCCATGGTGTGCAAGGAGACCCTTCTTTGTAATAGCAGGTGAGGCAGCCAGAGCAGCTGGG